CCCCCCCCCCCCCCCTTTGAACATTCTCATTAAGGAACACTCTTAAATAAAAGAACTATAAACTATAAAGTTAATATAATTACGTTATATATATTCTCAAAGTTTAATAAAATTGTTGTTCAAAAAATATCTGATTAACTCTGCACGCACGCGCACGTACGCATCTGATTATTACACCAGATTACACTCTGTACAAACCACTGAGCTGTATAATAACTGGAGGACCTGCTCCTATACTTCGTTCAGTCAACAAAGTGTCGCCAAAAACATGGCGGATTTTGAGTGAAAATGACGCCATTTCCATGACAACACTTCCGAAATTCTCATGGTAGGTACCACTGACCAGGCTCAATTCTGAGCCCACGGCCGTTTTCACACCCCCCTGGTTTTTGAAAAAAAATTTTTGCAGATATTATTGTTCTCGTGGTTTTGAATCGGTTTTTAAATTTTTTTCGATATAAATTTTCTACCTTTGATTATTTGCACAAAGATATGCAAGTCGTACATGTTATTCTCGCCCGTGACAGACGACAAACAAATTTAAAACCTCAAGAAATGTGGGAAAAGACGAGACTTGAATGTGGATTTACAAAGGGTAAGAGACAAATTTTCATTTGAGTTTTTTAATATTTAGACTTTACCTTATTTGACATGAAAATGATAAGCATAACGACGAAACAGACACTCTATTTGTTAATAAAAAAACTTCCTATGCAATACCCATGGTAAAGTGTAAAATGTTCCACTATTTTACTAATTTTAGCAAACTGTACGGTTCACAATCGCAAAATATTTGGTTACAAACTACGAAGCTTTGATCGATATTCAGTCACATATACGAGGATTACGACGGTCTTTAAAGTGCGAACTGTCTAGTGTAATAATGTTTAAAAGGTTGACTCCTGAGGTCTCGTTTTATAAACAGACATAAACCTCTTTTCCAGGATGGCCTGTTTTCTTACAAGTTTTCTCAGTGAAATATCACTCTGAATGAGCAATGTATCTTTATAATGCACCTATCAATGTTAAGCACCAGAGGGAGGGGGGTTGGGCATAGGTGGGGCAATCAAATGCTCCACCGTCGGGCAATAAATATTGGTCAAATGCCCCACCATTTTGCAATAAATTGCAAGAAATACTATGTTAATAAAAGTCATTCGGTTCAAATTGCCCCAACTCAGGGCCAAAGTGCTAATCAAAATCCCCAGGGTGGGGATACAATTGATGATCAAATACCCCACATGTGCCCAACCCCCCCCCCCTCCCTCTGGGGGTTAACATTGATAGGTGCATAAGTGCACTCATAGTTCTGATACCCCTGGTTTAAGCTAAGGAGTTAGGTCACATTCTTTTGTTTACCTTGCTCATATGCTAATTATGTTACTGGTGGATTTTTGTACAACCTACATAATTAGTCTACTCTTGTTTATTGCAGATTTATCTCACAATGACACATTCCTTTCTGGATGGCAAGTTACAGTACCAAGCCACACATATCTTTGGAAACTGAACATACTATATTTTAACCCATTGAGTGACATTGCACCCTGATGCACCCTACTTTAGTATTTTACTCCGTCTAATGCCAGACGATTTTACTCGTCAAGAGGAGAGCGCTGGCGCTATGGGTTAACTGGCCTATCTGCCTATGTTCTAGTTAACCCATTGAGTGGCATTGCACCCTGAAGCACCCTACTTTAGTATTTTACTCTGTCTAACGCCAGATGATTTTACTCGTCAAGAGGAGAGCGCTGGTGCTTAATATGGTTAACTGGCCTATCTGCCTATGTGTCTGTAGTTAACCCATTGAGTGGCATTGCACCCTGATGCACCCTACTTTAGTATTTTACTCCGTCTAATGCCAGACGATTTTACTCGTCAAGAGGAGAGCGCTGGCGCTATGGGTTAATCTGGCCTATCTGCCTATGTTCTAGTTAACCCATTGAGTGGCATTGCACCCTGAAGCACACATGCTTCCAGAAATTATGTCACCTTGGCTATATATAGAGTCTCATTTTCACGATTGAGACATTGGACTTTAACTCATGTCACATACATGAAAATGAGGCTCCATAGACAAGGTGAAATACATTCCGGAAGGGTGTATTTGACTTTTTTGAAAAATAATTAGCAGTAAACAATTTAAAAAACAAAAATGTATAATTTTAATTGCTATTAATTTAATAAAACTTATTTACACTTCAATAAAGTTATCATAATCATATAATTATTTATGTTGTTATGCATGGTATTATAATTAACTAATTAATTTTGTTGTTCTGCATGTTTTTCTGCATGTTGATGCCTCAGTGCCATCTCTTGTGTACATTAAACATATAATTTCTGCAAAATAAAAGATGACATTATTATCATGATACATTATACAGTACATCTTTAATACATCACAATATCATATACACATATGTTAACCCTTCACAAGTGCCAAGTGGCAATGTGTCTTGATATGCCTTACTGTATTATTTTAATCTACCTAACGCCAGACAATTTTACTAGTCAAGGGTGCAATTACATGATCTGTTTTTACCAAGACCATTGATCCGAGCTTCAAAATTAAATGTCATGTTTCAGTATTCAGCAATGCAATTACATTCCTAACTAAAATATGTCATCATCATAATTTCTCACAGTCTGTGCCATGGCCAATTGGACATCACTACTCCCAATGTTAGAAATCATTGGGGGGGGGGGGTAAACCCCTCTAATAGAGTGTTCAACCCCACCAAAATTCCCCTCCCGTTTTGTGTGAAAGACTTTATAACCCAAACACCTAACCCCTGCCAAAGCTCACTGAGTGGTGCTGCTTGCACCCGGCCACCAGAAATTCTTCTACCCCTCCTTTTAAATAAATGAAAATCTGCCCTTGTTAGAAATGTTGTAGCATTCCAAATTTACTTCATGATTAGTGTATCAGTGACTCACTTAAATTCCGGCAGCTTGTGGGCAACATTTTTGTTGCCAACATTTTTGTTGCCAACAAGCTGTGTAAAACTATATAGTAGTTTTACATAGTTCTAAACAGGCAATGGTGCAAAATGATATCTATTTTTAAGACTCTTCCCTTGATGAGTAAAACATCTGGATTTAATCTCACAGATTGAGTAAAATAAGAAGGTAGCCAGGGTTTATTGCAGTTTAATACTGGGCTGACTATATATCTCAGGGGCTGTTTATTTGCCGATAGTGTAATTATTAACCCACTGTATAATAAAGACAGTCTTTAGGGCTCATCAGGACAGGGCACATGGATTGTCACATGTAGTCTCCTCTACGGCTCAACTCTCTCTGGTCTTGTGCTTATCTATATATACTAATTCTGCACTGTGATGGGCAGGTATATAAATTTCACACCATATTTAATAAACGTTTTAAAATATATGAACATGTAAACAACCACAATTTTTAGTATAAATTAAAAACTGGCAATAAAACCACAAAGGCCAGTGCTGACACAAAACAACATAATTTCATGTACACAATGTTTAATCATTAACAATACTTTTATGTCCCCTATTGAAATATTTGCTGTATATATTAGGATGATGAGTTTTTGACAAATCATAATCGAAGGGTCTAGTGACTCTAGAAAGTTATAAAAAAGTTTCGTGAATCTTACCTGAAAGAATTAGTCTTTCTTTGTAGTGAAATGCTGCATCCACAAGCGAAGCAAACCCGCACCCTCGCTCCGCGTTGTAAAACAAGTAATGTTGGAGGAAAATATTAAGATTTTTTAGCTCAAAAACAACAGAAAACTTGAAATATCTTTAATATTTCTGTCCAAAAACCAGGGGGGTTAAGGACATCGTCGAAAGCTTAGGATCGCGGTTGGTCAGTGGCAATTACCATGAAAATTTCGGAAGTGTTGTCATGGAAATGGCGTAAGATCCGCCATGTTTTTGGCGACACTTTTTTTCCCCGAGCAGGTCCTCCAGTAATATAGTATAGCTCAGTGGGATTAATATATATTACCCTCGCCTTCCGCTCGCGCCCGCAATCCTTTCTGTTATTTTCGTTGGAACGTCATGTAATATTATCGTTTTGTCAATTTATTCGCCATATTTGAAGTCTTTGGAACGAAGCAAGTTTTTGAAGCTATTCACTGTATTAAAATGCAAGCTCTTATGATTTATACAAGTAAGTGCAATATTACGTTATGATGTTTTATTCATATTACGTTTAATTAATATGTTTTATTCATAACACAGCTGTTAGTTGGACCCCCTGTGACAATGGTGGAATCATTGAGAGGTCATTGTGTTTGAACATGCTCATCGGTTTAGTGCTACACATACTATCTTCTTAACACCAACAGATATTGTCTCTTATAAGTACTGTATACATTCATGGTCTGCTTGTATATATAGTTGGTTTATACATGTCAGATACAAACCTTGAATTTATGATGACCAAGTACACGTTTTATTAATATTGGTCTACGTGTCGTGGAAATTAGAGAATCTCTCCATCGGGAGAACGAAAACAAAACAAGCTCAATTGTTTATTTAATCTTAGTTTACATTATATATTGTATATTGTTTATTAAAGTTTGTTGTAGAAAGTGTTCAGATTTGTGTATTGTCATTTGCTATTTTGTAATTTGTACAAGAGTTCGTATTAAATGTCCACCAGCACGCTTTTAGCCAGGGTCCTACAAGAGGGCGTCCAATGAATTTTGGTACAACCCAATTTTGTGCCCTAGCTGCACCCCCTGTAGGAAAATACCATTAATGGTAAGAGTTCAGCTGTCTTTACATTCATTTGATTATATACTGTATACATAGTAAATAAAAACCATAATTTCAAAAACCCATTACTGGAAATTTATTTTTTCCCTGTGATTGTACACCTTGCTTCCTGCCGTCCAAAGGGGAAGGGGAGAAAAGGTTCTGATAATAGTAAGTGTATTTATTTAGGGCATCCAAATAGGGTTAACTTTCAATTTCCTCCATGGCGGAGGTATGGACTAATAGAATCCATATGGAGGCCCATTAATGTGCAAGACTCTCCCCTTAATCAATGCATGAGTACTAGTATATCGACTGCCATTAGACAGAGTAATTAAAATAATAAATGCCTGCTGCAGCTTAATGGGTGAATCACCAGTGCAAATTAATCAAAACTTGAGTTGTGATTTGCGATTATTGATAAACTTTAGACTTAGCTAATAGTACCCTCCCCACGGGCTTATGTCGGACCGGCACTCCACGACGTACGTTGGGTTGGGGATTATGTGTTTTTCGTTGGATATGGCCATACATACTAGAACTCGGTCTGATTGCTGGTGTTATCCTTCAAATTCCTTTGTGTCCAACTACCACTTCCCAATCATCTTACTTTAACCGTATAGTCAAACTCTGGAACAGAGTGTGTAAGAATGTTGATTCTGACGCTTTCTCTCCAGTCCTATTACTTTTATGTCCTTGCCTTTTTGAATTTTCCATTTATTCATTTTATTCTTATGTAACTGTTATTCTTATAGACTTAATGATATATTGTATGATTTTTAAATATCCAAATAAATTTGTGAAAACAAAACAAAACAAAACTTTTTGCTGAACACTATATGCCAAACACTATATACCCCAAACACTATACGCCAAACGCTATACCTTTCGACGCCTGAATTAAATACAAGATTTCAACATTGTCGTAAAAAATTTTTTTAGTGATTTTTATATCCGCCAGTTTGATTCGCACAAATTGTCAAATTATGCATTTAAATTTAATTCCATCGCCCATATTATGAAGATATGGTTTGCATGAGCTACGATTAGGATTCGATTAAGATTTTGACAAACTGTGCCATATGGAACAAAATGTATAGTAAAAACTGCACGGTTGAGCGTGCAATGGAAGCCTTCCATTGCCCGCTGAGCAAAATGTAATTTTTATTCCATATCACGTGGTCATTATCAGCCAATTAAATGGCCGGAATTTGATGAGGTACATGATACGCTATTGACTATGACTATGTGGGACTATATAGACGCTATACTATAGACTACGTGAACGTTCTTCACAGTTTACCAGATGCATCAAGGCAGACTTTGTGGTTATTTGAAGACCTGACCACCCGTTTGCAACTATCACAAATAAACTTAGTTACTCAGCAGACTACTATTCCCAATATTTTTTGAAGAGAGGACGATGGGGTTTCTGAATTTTTTAGCTGGCAAGCGATCTTTCTTGCGAGTTACACGTTTTATAGAATGGGAGCCCTGAAGCTTAAGACCTAACAAAAATATCCTGTGGTTCTGGTTTTATATCATGAAAAAGTACGAAAATATTTTTTTGGGGGGGACATTTTTTGCTTGACATCGATCAGCAATGGGCGTGAAAGTGGTCAGTTGGCATTGACACAGCACATAACATTTCAATAATTATGGGCGACCAACGAAAAAGGTAGGGTCGGCATACCACATCGAAAAATCAAAAAAGTCGGCACAAAAATAGATGGTAAGTTGAGTGACCGGAACGCAGGATATTTTGTGTTAGGCCTAACCTTGATTACTGTGTAGTCTGTACAACTTTATTTATAACAGCTGTTCCATTATGTAATCAACTTTTACTGCATATAAATAAATTAACAATGACATGTATCCTCCAGGTACGAAAAATGCTTTCTCTACAACTTGTGTCCGAAATCCAAGCCGGAACCTCCCTTGTAACTCCATTCCAACCATGGTGGGAAATACTTATAGATTACTCGCTTACTGGTATACTGATGGCAGTTCTATTAGGACTGGCTGGTGTTACACTCACTGGTACAACTGAAATTGTATGCATACCAATCGTGAATGGTAGTCTGTCGACTGATCTAAGTATTTCTTCATATGTGAATTCAAGGTAAGAAATTACAGTCGATTTCACGTAATTTTTGCCTGAATGTTCCGAACTTCGTTCCAAAGTTCGTAAATTCGGTGCGTAGTTCAAAAGTTCATATTGAAATTCACAGGCCATGCAGTTTGTAAACAAAGCCTCTAATTTGTCCTTGATTTTAAAGAATGGTTTAAAGGACGAAGTTCGTAACATTTAACCCCAACGACAATATTCCTGGCCATAAAAACTCCCAATTGCTGAATTTAGTGAATACCTATACATTTCATCCTGAGTGGAATATGGACAAACGAGAAACTTTTTTTATAGCACGATTTGCTCACAGTTTAAAGGTTTAAAGGACGAAGTTCGTAACATTTAACCCCGACGACAATATTCTGTCCGTAAAAACTCCCAATTTCTGAATTTAGTGAAAACCTACATTTCATCCTGAGTGAAATATGGACAAACGAGAAACTTTTTCATAGCACGATTTGCTCACAGTTTCTGTTCGAAACGTCAAGATTTCAATGTGCGATGACTCTCAAAAGCATCCGGCATAAACATTGGAACAATACATGGCGAAGCACCGACAAAAGCATCCAATTTTATAACAAAAGCAGAATGCATGACAGTCGTTAACTCACAAATTCATTTTGTAACAAAGCATATTTCTATGAAATGAGTCATCGCTTGAAAGATAATAGTAGTAATCAACACTTATGTTGTGTTAAGAGTTCGTTTTTGATAAACAGATTTGAATAAACGATCAACAGAAATGTGAGGTTTCTTTCTGAATTCAGTAATTTAGGGGTTTTTGTCACCGGTAATGTTGCTGTCTGCGACTTTGTCAGTGGGGATTTTGTTGATTTTTGTCATGTTGTGGTTTTGTCATGGGTTTGATGTTGAGATGCACGGTATGCCTTCTTTCCTGAAATTTAACGTGATTATGCATTCTTGTCTTCATTTTTATGTAGATGTTCCAGAACATTTGGTGGGAGTTTTCTCCTCTATTATCCATACCTTGCACTTGTGCTTTATCTGGTGCTACTATTTGGTCATATAATATCGGTGAAGCTCCCATCCACAAGTTCATTTCTTGAACTTATGTTTCAACTTTTTGCCGACTTCAAAGCGCTTCGAAACTCATCAGCGTACTTTGGAGGCCAAGCCGTGGTGACCAACCCTGAGGAACAGCGCATGAGCAACGAGACGCAGAAAGGCGGGAAGCTTTACAAAGTTCTAAAAGTTGAAGTCAAAGAAGAAGTCATCGGTCTGGTGGAACGACTTATACAAACTTTGAAATCAAATCCCGGCTTCTTCGTGGTGTACGTGGCGAAATCGGTTATTCTTTTTGTCGGGAGTGGTTTAGTAATTGCTGGAAATGTTGTAGCACTTGTTATCTATGATTGGGCATTGGTGTTTGATTGTGAGCTTAAAATGTCCGTCGCAGCTTTGTACGAAACAACAACATGTACAATTCCCGCAGCCCCTTTCTTGTACGGTCTAATGATTGTAACTTCAATTTTTTCGTCTTTCATTCTGATCTTAACCTGCCGAGCAATTTTCTGGCTGATTCAAACCAGAAATTTTCAGTCAGTTTATTTGCAAACGTGGAAACAGGGAAAACAGGGAAAACATGTACTCAGTGAGCAACCAGGATTTCGAGATTTTACTTTCTGTTTAATGTTAATGAAGTGTAACGGGACGGACGGCGAGGCTGTATATAAGACCGTGAACTCCAGTCTGCAGATATACACTAGTCTTAAGATCGAGCAACATTTTGAGAAAGACCAACTCCTCGGTACGAGTGTAGCGTCTGATGTTCAGTTCGAGCGGGATAATTATATTTGTGATTTTATGCTGCGAGAAATGGGTATGCAGAGCAAAGAGACGGGAGAGAGTCATGATTTGATTAACACACTGAGCAGTCTCTATGACTATATGGGGATAAATGGTGGTGACAAGGAAGGCGCCGAAAAGAGGTAGGAAGTATTTTGCATTCAACCCTTTTACTCGTTCCTTATTGGTCAACATTTCCCAAATTCTGTATTCTGACCTCATGCATATTGGCTCTGTGCAGATACGGATCAATTTATGGCCGCTGCAAATTTCCTGTAGCGTATTGACTTGCATCCGGAGTGCCAAGGGTAGGGTCCGTAGTTGGTCCGTGATAGTGTACACACAATACTAAGAAACGTGGTGAATTTTTGACGGAATGCTAGCGTAGCGTTATAGTGTAAACGCGGCCACAATCTCATTCGAATAGGCCATGACAGCGTGCGATGATTTTTAGTTGTAACCTCACTGGTTCCGGCTCCGATAATTTTGTCCGCGTAACGGAGCTGGTACAAACCTAACACTCAAAATGTTCTTCGATTTTAAGATAAAGCACATTTTTTATCGGTAAAAATGAAGCAATCTATTTGGCTTAGGAGCTTCACAAAGCGGGCCGGTTTTTTTTCATCCGGCTTTCTCTGAAACGCAACTGTCGCCCTGGTTTCGGCGCCAAAACCGAAGAGTGAAACAATTTTTCAATTAAAATATCTGCCCAAAACGTTTGAACAACTCAGGCTCAGCTTGACGGTGTTCAAAATACTACAATTACTGCATCAAGCTCTATAAAGTCTTTATACAAAGCACGACATACACTAGAATTAACAATATTATGAGAGAAGTGCGATTCAGTGAAAGTCAGAAGGTTATTTGACATGTATAAAACTTACCCCGAAAAGCTATATTTTTGTTTTAAATGTTCATGTATTGGGCCACTTAAAAGCGAAAAAATCACACTATAAAAAGATATTTTTGAACATAAAGTCATGCATTTTTCACTGATATAAATATTGTAAACAAAGTCAATACATTTTCCAAGCATACTTTCGTGAAACGACCACAAAAATAGGTGTCAAATTTGTCGATAAAATCAGAAAAGATTAATTTACCTGAACACGAACCTGTCGTTGTCGGAAGCAACTGCAATTGTCAAAGCCGAAACACTAGACCGAAACGTTTCATTCCTATGATTTTCTGCTACCATATCATGAAAAAAGCATGTGCACTTTTAGGTATGGGGAAAAACCTTCCCATTATATTAGAGAGCTTTAGATTTGGCTACGGCTACGAGATTCGTTATTTGGAGATATTTCTATGAAATTGTGGCGTGTGTACGTAATGGCGTAAGAACGCGGCGACTATTTGGAAACAACGGACCTTGTAGGCGTACTCATGATCAAATCTAAAACTCTCTATTGGCATATTCCTTCGGTACGTAAGTGCGCGCATTTTCGCACCCTGCATGAAGAGTAAGAAAACATATTATTTTCGTTTAGTACATGGTGACACTAAAAAAAACCGTAATGAAAATTGGGTTGACGTTTTGAAAAGATTCATGTAGGCTAATCAAGGCCACGGATGTTAACGTTCCAGTGAAGAACAGTTCCCTTTCGTGGGCGCCTTAAAAACATGAAACCCGCCGGGGCGAGTGCAATTTGGAAAGTTTTTTAAGAATGACAAGTTTTGGTAATTCTTAATTGAACGAGGAACATCACATGATTATTTATTTATTTGGCCAATTAAAAAAATAGCTGTTGATAGTTCCCGCCTAGCCTCCTCCGCAGGCATCTCACCCGACGAATCGGGTGGTGGGAAAAAGTTTGGTGAGATGCCTGCCATAAATCGACACAAAAATTTGCACTGCGCATACCGGCTCGCGCATGCAAATTTCGACAAACTCAAACTTAGGGGGAGTAGGAAGGGCTTACGGCAAGGAGTGAAGAAAATTTTGTTTTCAACACGATGGCTTACAAGACGAGTAAAACTGTAAAATTAACGAATAATCCTGCTCTTCAACATTGCAAATACAAAGGGAACTTTGACTAAGGAGCTGAGAACGTTACCGAAAGCCGACGCAGCGATTTACTTGGATTGTTTAGAGATAACGAGTGACTTTGTAGAGCAGTGAATTCACATTGTCGTCGATTCATGTCAAGACAAGGTTTCAATTGAAAGTTTATCGTTGATATATGCAAATTTCTATTCAAATTGTTGACGACATTTTATATCATAATAAGCTGAAAGTGCAGTGATTTAGTTGAAATTGTAACACGAAAAGGAACGATCGAAAATTGACTAAATTGTTAATATATAAATGTAAATTCAACTGTTGACATCTGTGCATGACTGTGCCTGCGTATTAAATATATAAACACTTCTTGCCTTGTTTTAATACGCTTGTATGGAAGGAAATCATTAATAAAAGTCTTAAACAAAAGCTTTCTTATTGTGGAATACACTGTGCAATTTATCCCTTGGACAAAGACAAAGTTTTCAAACTTGAGTGTCTCAGATGTGGTGAAAATTAGCAAAAGCTTTCTTAAATCAGTGGCCCTGTTTTATATATGGGTGTGAGTATAAATGTAGACATTTAATAATTTAATAAGAATCTAATAGTTTTCCATGTGGTGCAACATGTATGAAGACCTGTTTTAATAACATTTGCCTTGGATTTGTTAATTAACGAATGGAGGCATTACATACATTCCATTTTGCTTGCCAAAGTTTACAGACAAAATATTTACATGGGTAAAATCCATTTTGCAAGGCAAATTTCCCTATAACCATACAGTCACTGACGAAACTTCCCAGTGTTAGACGTGTTTTCAGGGATGGATCCGGCATGATCTGGTAGGGGGGTGCTCTGCCAGCTCTGGTGTCGAGTGACTCGAGTTGTGTCGTCATGTGTGCAGCCCGCCATTAATATACAGCAACAGCAGTATTTTGATAATTTGGCAAAACAACCTCCATGTGGTACAAGTGTACTGTGTACAATATCTCATTTTG